GGCCAGTACAACATTTAAATTCTATACACAACACATAAATTTAATAATTTTAATTGAGATTAGTGTCGAGTTGGTTGTCTTTTTAAAAAAAATTTTAAATGACTTGTTTAGAAATTCATATTTTAATTAATATATATTTAATAGTATTAAATTTTATATAATCATCCAAGTATTTATTAAGTATATTAAAATAATTTAAAAATTAATATATATGATTTATATTAATAAAATTTTTAATTTAATAATTAATTTTTTTAAATATTACTATAATTAAAAAAACAAAATTTTAAACAAATTCTTAGAAAAATACTTAAGGGAACAATTGCAAAACATTTTTCCCATTATTTAATTTCGTTACATAGTTACATACGTCACCTAACGCACTAGCCCACGTTTCCAAAACTCCCGACATTAATATTTTATTAATATATATTTTTCAAAAAAATGTATTTTTTTATTGTTCACTTATTAGTTTGAATGATAAGAATTTTAATTTTTTTAAAATAAAATATTAAATTTAAGTGTTTTAAATAGAAGAATACGGAAAAAACTTTTCTTTATAAGAGTTTCACATAATTTAATTTTAAATTTATTAAGATATAATATGGTTGAGTACAGAAAAATTAGTAAAAAAAGTATTCTTTTTTTTTTCCCCGTAAATGAAGAAAGGTTGAGAGATATTCTTCTTGTGCTATATATATTGCGAGGCTCTATGTCACCAAAATTCGCAATAGAAATTAAGATACAACACTCAAATCCCTTCCGTTCCTTTCCTCAAAACAACACAAACTTGCTAGAGAAAGAAATGGCCAAGAGCAAGGTACTTGTCGTCGGGGGAACTGGGTATATTGGTCGGAGGATAGTGAAGGCGAGTTTAGCTCAGGGGCACGAGACCTATGTCCTCCAGCGGCCAGAGATAGGGCTTGACATCGAGAAGCTGCAGATGCTGCTGTCATTCAAAAAGGAAGGGGCTCTACTGGTTGAAGGCTCCTTCAACCATCACAAGAGCTTGGTGGAGGCAGTCCGAAAGGTGGATGTGGTCATCTGCACCATGTCGGGAGTGCATTTTCGAAGCCACAACATCCTCTTGCAGCTCAAGCTAGTGGATGCGATTAAAGAAGCAGGAAATGTAAAGGTATATATATATATATTTATCATTTATTTAATTTATCAAATTCTTCGTTATAAAGAGCCTTGCATATAAGCATCTCTATTTATTCACATATTGAATCTCAAATTAATCGGAAACCTGATCTTAATTATAGGGGATATTTT